GCTGCAATATGCCAGAGAGCCCGCCCGCGCCTCAACATCCTCAAATCCCTCGCAGGAACCAGCTGGGGAAAGCAGAAGAAACCCTCTTTGGCACTTTCAAGGCCTTCAATAAGTCCCTCATCACCTACGCTGCCCCAGTGTGGTTCCCTAACGCCTCTCCTTTGGCAATCTCTAAGATAAAAACCATCTAGAATTCTGCTCTCCGCATAGCCACGGTATTTCTTCATATGGCCACTGCTCCCCACCTGCACAGCGAAGCTGAGGTCTTACCCGTGGCCGAACACCTCTCTCTCCTCTGCTCATTGTACCTTGCCAGCGCCCTACGACCGCACCATCCCTGCTATCCCATCGTCACCCAGACATCGGGGCCCCGCTCCATGAAGCTTCACACTTCAGACCCGCTTCCTCCCTTCGGTCTCTCACTTGCTGGAGAAGGGGGTTCCTCCCCCCTGACTCCTACTCCGTTGTTCTCAGCACCCTGCACAGCTCAGCTGTCTCTTCCTACCTGTCCTCAGCAGCTCCTATCAAGGTGTGGCTGATCCCTGCCCTCTATCTCTTCCAGCGAGCGGTTCCTCCCCAGAGCAGCCAGAAGCGCTCTGCCAGCTCCGCTCTGGCTACTCACCGCGACTTAACTTGTGCCTTGCTCGCATTCGAGCAGCAAATAGCCCTCTCTGCCCTGAGTGAAGTGCAACGGATCATACCACCCATCACCTATTCAGCTGCCCATCGCACCCCACCTCGCTAACCCCACTGGACCTTTGGTCTAACCCTGGACCGACTGCGGCGTCCCTCGCATCACTCCCATCCTTCTCCGACATAGTACTTGGAGTGGATCGCCCGCTCCCTCCTCCCCCGGAGCCACCGCCTTTACTGGGGCGCCGCCAAGCAGCAGACCCCGGCAACTAACAACAATAACGACGTCCTATCCCACCCCCTCTCTCCAGACACTTCGGCGACCCACCTCTCCTCTCCTACGTCTTCTACCATGCAGAGGCACCTCTGTGCGTGCGTGATAACCGGTGAAGAACATGTATGTAAATGTTGGTTTATTGTAAAATCTACCGAGCCTAGTTGGCATACGGTGACTGCAGATATCGAATTATTTTCTCTTGATAAATTGCATGGTATTAAATTAGGAAAGGCTGGCATGTTGTGCAAGATGGTGAAAGATTTTAGAGCTGAAAAGTAGCACTCAATTATCGTTAATGCCAGTATTTCGTACTTCTAAAAAATTTTCCAAAGTCGACATCAAGTGTCCTACATCAGTTCTTCTCGTTTATTGAATGTCGTGTCTAGTGAACATGATGGCTTATACTGTATTCTATGGTATTAGATTAATAATCGAGTGTGAATTTGACAATCAATTTTTTTTATTTTTTTATCAAATGTGTTTTTCTAAATTAACGCCTTAATTTATTGATCTTTTTTATAGCGATTTCTCGATTTGCAATTAATGTTTTGATATAAATACCAAATGAAAATCGGCTATAGCCTCTACATATATCTAGATTCAGAAAATAATTTGAAGCTGTTGAAACGTATTACCTTAACAGGTAGGACGGTTGAGGTAACGCTGAACTTACTTTGATATTAGTTCCTGCATCGGAATATAATGATATAATTTTTGCTACATCGGTTAGTAGGGGTTTGTCAATTTTGTGGTTAAGGAAGGAGATAACCCACCATTTAATCTCGTTTATATGACTTATGATTGAGGACTACTGCATTAATTATTTTTATCCTATTATATGCTTTGTTCTGCCCTTTGCATTATTGATGAGTGAATATTCAGTGTCTTAACATGTCGCTGAGTTTTTGTCAGAAATAGTTGTACCAGAATATAGAATAATGTTCATAAATGTGTTATTGCTGATTATTGAGAGTATGAATGATGCATAGAGCATAAAGCCAGTAGCATATCATACTCTAAGCGGCGTTTCTGCCAATCCATCTTTTTTGCATAGGTTATGTAGATGTGTAAAAATTTATAATAAACGTTTAATTGCTTGGATAGAATTCTTTAGTTATCCCCGAAAGAAAATAAAGTAAGCCTGAAGAGAGCAGGTAGCGGGCAGCGGATGGGGCGTGTCGGCAGTAAGTGAGCCGGAGCCCGGCAGGACTGATTCGTTGCAGCCGAGCACCAGCGCCCAAATAAGGCCTTACGCAGAACGTTTTGAACCCCTTAAATAAGCGGTCATCCTTGCTGGCTCCCTGCTTCCCTCGTGCTTCTATCATGCTCTTGGTATGGCGCCGGCCCAGGTCCTACACTGCTACTAATTTTGACTGGGGAGTGGAGTGTTTTTCGGAAACCTTCCAGACGTGAGGCGGGTGGTGAACATCCGAGTCCTCATAAAACGGATCCATAGAAGAAAAAGAAAATCGCCGCAGCTCCTGGCTCGCGAGTGTGTCTTTGCGTGTCATTACTGTTGTATTTTCGTCGCCTCTTGATTTCATTCTAGTTATCTGGCAATAATAAAACTGGACTTTATTTGTTGTGCACAACGTTTGTGTAGGGATTCTGACTTTCGAGATGCCTGTTTTGACTCCTATGGCACTCCCTCCAAATGGAATTGATCCTTGATCGTTGATGATTCCCGAGAGGGCGACCTTAAATTAAATTTTTCGGACTAATTCTATGAATTGGCCTTCGTTTATGCTCGCCTAAAAGCATTCTTAGAGCATTTATTTGAAATCAAATAAGTTAAGCTTGAGTTACATAAATGAATGCTCTTGATGTCGAGAATAAATTGCTGTATAATTCATGACAATTTTAAGGCATAGAAGGCTCTTAGAGTTCTTTAAAGTTGCCAAGATAATAAAAGATATCCATTGGTAGAGAGATTATTATCCAATTCTACCTCATCACACATTATTTTAATTACCACGTTTTTCTTAGCTCGCTTTCGTGTCCGTCAGTCTGTTTGTGATGATCAAATCTTGCAATCGATATTTCACCAACTTTCCCGCTAGCTAGCGCTCTGAAACTTTTAGGGAAGCTCAGCTCCCGATGACAATACAATAATCAATAATTTGTTGCACGTTTCCAGGCGTATTTATTCAATGAAATGCGTGGAATTCATTCAATTGGTGCATGAAATGAAATTACATGCACCAATGTATCCCCTCGAATACAATTTTCTACAGAACTTCGAAAAGAATTTTCTTTCGTGCATTTGCGTGGCCAACTGAAATAAAATGAATATTATGTAGGATGGCTGACCTTTGTGCAGTAGTTATAAACTCTAAAGGAACTCACAAGCAGGGGTTGGGAACCTTTAATTCACGTCATCCTCGAGAGGATATTCGTGTTTAGACTGTGTATATCGATGATACGCTGCGTATCATCGATTCGTACGTCAAGTCAAGTAAATTGGCTCGCAACAACGTTTTTCATGTGTAGCAACGGACTAAAAAGAAGAAAATAAAATACTTAAAAAAAACTTTTTAAAAAACCACGTTTTTCTTGTGGACTAAAAGTAGAAAATAAATTATGGCTCGCCCCAGAAACCGTGTGTCGGGCAGATTTATGATTAAAGCGAAAAGTACACAACACACGAATTTTGGAAATTTGGTGGTGAACGTACAGCCCGACCCACGTTTTTTGGGGCGAGCCATAATTTATTTTCTACTTTTTAGTCCACAAGAAAAACGTGGTTTTTTAAAAAGTTTTTTTTTTGTATTTTATTTTTATGAAATTTATATTACTTTTCGAATCGAAATCGTCATTGAATCACACCAAACATAAATTTCATAAAAATTGACTGATGGGCAAGTAAATTACCATCATCTCACTTGACTCTTCTTAAGCGATAAGTGGATATTCGTACCGCTGGCAGCGGCAAGGAGATATTCGTAACGATGGCACCGATACGAAGATATTTGTAACGATAGCAGCTATGAGTGGATATTCGTACCACTGGCAACGAGACGTGGATATTTGTAACGCTGGCATCGATAGGTGGATATTCGCACAGCTGGAAGCGATAAGTGGATATTCGTCCCGCTGTTAGCGAAAAGAGGATATTCGCACCACTGGCAGCGAAAAGTGGAAATTCGTAGCGCTGGCAGCGAAAAGAGGATATTCGTAGCGCTGGCAGCGAAAAGAGGATATTCGTAGCGCTGGCAGCGATAATTAGATATTCGCACCGCTGGCAGCAGGCATTTTTATCTCCACAAGTTAACCAGTTAATTATTTCTATGGATTGAAAGGAACGCAGGACTAAATTTAGTTTATTATAAAGTGAATTTCATATCATCCTGAATAGCCTCAACCAATTTTAGTACCAATTTGATGATATATGCAGCGTTCTAAAAGGATGGAACACTTTTTTGCGAGGAAACATTATGCGCCCTGTGAATAGAACTCATCTTGAGCCATCATCAACGAGAAATTTAATGCCGATAACCACACACAATTTGAGCCTAGCTTGATCTTCGATCTATTTCAATCACAGATATAATTTAAGTGTTTCTTGAAGGAATGGCTAGATGATGGCTAACATCACCGAAGTCGAAATGCATAAAGTATGCGCACAAATAATTACTTCTTTTCATCATGGAATCATAACTGTAGAGCACTTTGAGTGAAGTGAAAAAAATATATATCAGTTAAAGGCTAATTTCTAAAATACTTTCAATACGCACTTCTATATAGTGATAAAGCCATCTTTGGCGGTAATGTACGAGAGGTTACGGCGATAATTATAATATATACCAGTTTTATATGGGGTCATAACCTCGAAGGTGCTGGGAGCTCTGAAAATTCTTTGGTCCACAGTTGACTTTTCAAATATTTTTTATAATTTTCACCATGGAAGCACACAGTCGCTGACGTCGAGTCATTTTGGTGCTAGAGCGAAGAAGTAGATACTGACGGTAATCCTATGAACGCTCAAGTTATTGCACGTTTAATTGTAGCGTCGGATAGGAAAAAGGTCTTGACTAGCGACGATCAAAATTATCTTCAGTTAATTGAGACTTTTTGCTGTTATCCCAAAGTTGAGTACTTTGAGATTGTTTTATGTAGATAAAACTCTTGGTGATTAGAACTTCTGTCAGCCACAAAGTTGAGAAGAGAATTAAAGCATAAGAAATATGATTGAGAAGCATTGAATTGACGAAATTGAATAACTATAGCGTCATCCAGCTATCAGTAACTCTTTATGATTTACAGAAGGCTAGTTAGGTGTGTTGGCTAGTTAGGTGTTTCCATTCAGATGCAACCCAAGTACGACAGATAGGAAGGTGGAGGACATTTGCGGTTCATGCGTGGGCGTCCATCCTGGCAGAAATAACATGGCGTCGTCTTAGAAGGACCTGCGAAATAATTATACCATTTCATTAGTACTTAAATGTAGGTGTAAACAAAAAAATATAAGTGTATGTGCGAATTAAAATTTATCCGCAAGTCTTCAACTTGAAAAATAGTATTTACAACTCACCAAGCCACCGTGCCGATAAGCCAAAGAAAACGTGAGTTAGCAAATTGATTCTGAGGATCATTATGTAGAATCATCAGAACTTACTCTGGTTCGGGTGTTGACTTGCAGGTGTTTGCTGAAATAGGGATTTACTCAATTGAAACTGCATGATTTGCAGAGGAACAGGTTCAGGAAATCCCACGGGTACAGAACCAGGGGGAAGGGATGAACTGATTTTCGATGAAGGGCCTTCATTGGGGCACAGAAAAAACGATGGAGGATTCAAATCAGAAGATCCCGGAGTGAATGTTTCCACTTGAGGAAATGAAGATGTGTTGTTTGAGGCGGGCGCCATAGGAGAGTTTGGAAAGTTACGAAAACGATCGTCCTCGCCTCCCTCCAGCAAGAAGGGTATGGTGCCGACCACAAATTCTACCTGGCCAGAGACGTCGTTACAGCAATCGAATCTTGCAACCACCTAAGAGAAACGACAATTCATTATTGTTGAATGACGAACTGAAAAACCATCCCCAAAGGATACGAATGTTCGAAATTTATTCGCCACAACAACACTAAGATTGTAATTTCATTTCAGTGTGTTCAATTTTCGCCTTGTTTTCCTTGACAAAATTAACATTCTATGTAAAGGCAACAAATATGGAAGGCATAATTGCACTACAACTACTGAATCTAATAAGTTAATTAAAGTTACATTGAGTTACATTACAATTTGGCCCACCCATAAAGTTACATTACAATTTTGACACAGCACCTACTGGTCTAATCATTTCTGTACGGACATTATATGTTCACCAGAATATATGTACGGGTCAGTGAGGCTTGGTTCTGGTGTTCGCCACCTGAGAAATTAACTACTTACACAAGCAACTCATTCTAACGAAAAATCTCGGTTGCGGGAATAGCCGCTCTCAACATCAGCCGCCTACAACTTCTAGCACGATTTCCTCCCTTAGGCACTCACCCCAACTTTCTATCAAACTTCACCTTAAGGAAGTATTTGAGGTCCATAATTTGGCAGTGCTGGAGCCCGGGTACGACGGATGGTACGAAGAAGGGTTCGTCTTGAAGGCCGATGCTGTCACCTGGTGCTACGCAGCCAATTTCTAACAGTTTCACGTCTCGTTCGTCCACTTTACAGGTACGACGCCGTTTCGAATGGTACGTCACACGCTTTACGTGGGTGTTAGAATGGTGTTAGATGTTATCGGGGATTCAATTGGATTTATGATGAAGAATTTGCATTTACTACATATATGAGGCTTCTAATACTCTGGAAATTGAGTGACTCTGAACGAAGATAAAAAACATGGATGGTACGTGATGTAGTTAAAGTCTCGTTATAGTACAAAAATAGGATGTATTACCAATTAGATAAAGTAGGAGAAAAGTTTAGCACTTCATTGCAGACAGATCAAAAGGTAGTCAGATGCTGCTCGATATTGTATAGTCTGTTAAAACCTAAACTGATCCAGTCTTTTGCTCTGGCATTAAGTATTAAAACCATAGCCGATTCAACAATTTGATTTTGCAATAGGTGGCAAGAACAACACATGTGTAGCATTTATACTCCAATTTCGCTGCCAACAACCAAACAAACGGAGTTGTAGTAGAGACTGAATTATATAACGGCAAATCGAGTGCAATCGCAACGTTTGAAGCCAATAGTGTGAAGAGGTTTTTTACTGGTGTTGCGTCATTTTGAACACCGTTGTTGCTTTGTACGTACAGTGAAACAGATTTTGCTTGCCCGTTATGAAACCAATGACGCTAATTTAAAGCCAAGTTCGACCAGCAGGATTCGTTTAACTTTTACTTAATGCAAAAAAAAAAACAACTGTAAGGCTTTATCTTGCCTTATCTTATCAACAGATCTAACCGATGAACAGGGATGAGAGATTTGTTTTAAAATGGTTCCGGAAACTTTTCACCAGACCAAAAAGCCATCAAAAGGGTAAGGTGCTTTACATTTTTCAAATTGATTGAATCTTTTCCCATTTCTGTAAGATTTCAGCGCCACCAGGGAGCTTGCGTATATGTGCATGACCAGGAATCCAAATGCAAGGTAGTGAAAGACACCCACCTGAGGCTCCAATTAAGCCGAAAAAAGTCTGATTTAGCAAGACAGATCATATTTGACTGTATATTAGTTTTTAAAGCAATTTAAAGTAATCAATTTACAACACCTGACGGAGGTACAGAATTGTAGATTCCACCTTCTTTCTGCTGTAGTTCGCCACCTCCCCCCTCACTCTGTACTTCTCCCCCACCACCGCCCCATAGCGACGGCCACTGATGTAGAGGCTGACGGGGCCACGGCATAAGCACGACGTGTCCTCTTTCTCTATCAGAAGTTGTGCCTGTGAAAGATGTGATGTAGATAATGTAGATAACGAATAGTGGTATACTTAGCGAGGATTAACTAAGACATTGACATTTCTTGATCAATTATATGACGTGTCCACTTTCTCCGTCAGAAATAGTGGGTGGTAATGGGATGTAGATGAGGATAATGTAGTTACCTAAGATAGGTATACTTGACAAAGAATAAACAATATTATCGATATTCCTTAATAAAGTATGTGCCGTGTCTTCTTAATGTACAAAAGTGGCAATCGTGAAAGATGTGAGATAGATAATGCAATTATCCTAACAATATTTAGATGCGGGCCCGACTTAATTGGCAAAAAGCATCGCCCAGGACTCAGGGAGCACGTAAATTTGCCGCTCTTGTCCCCTTCGGCTCTGGGTGTGAAGGGCAGCCTCTTAGCAGCTGGCAAGCTCGGTATGACTCGGCTCGGCCAACTCTTCTCCTACTCCCAGGCGACCATTAAATCGGAGATGAGATTCTGACCAATGGTGGTGGCTAAGCAGAACCAGGGGGGTGGCCAAGCAGACCCAAAGCTGGGAGGTGGCCAAGCAGACTTATAGGGGGAATGGCCGAGCAGACCCCGTATAACTTTACTGCAAGTGCAGTGACTATTCGGCCAAAGCCGAGGCGGTACCAAATTGGGTAACTTCTCCCCAACTTGCGTGTAAGGTAAGGTGGGTGTTCCCCAAATTAAGATAAAATTCTTCCCAACTTGGGAAGTTTTAATTGGTTTTCTTCCCATAGAAAAATTAATTCATGAATACTGCATGAACTGAACTGAAACGTGAAAGGAAACTCAGAAAAATATTAATTGTGATAAACTTGTCTGTCGAGATATATGTTGGCAGTTCTTTGTTTTTGGTAAATAGTATTTTGCTTGTATCGATTAATACAAACTACAATTCGTGCAAAGCTTGATAAAATCACATAGATGTGTCGGAAATATACATAACAATAGTGATATTTCTTTCTGGCTCTGGAACTGAATGTTTGCGAGTTACGATTAAAAGTATAAACAATTCTATCAATTCAACAGGTATCTAATTTCATTTATTATCTTTGATTTCATATAGTACAAAATCTCCATACAGTAGAAGTAGTTGACAAATACGTTGACACGTAAAACGTGCAAATCACATAGAAATAATAGAAATGTTCGGCGTGGGTCAAGTTTCTGTATTTTGCGTTAACATGTGACCACAAGTGTCTTGGGTCGCGCTGCAGCTTGTCAACAAGTTTACCTGCGACTTTATAAAAATTTCAATTGTCAAGAACCAGTCTTCAGCTGAAGTTTATGAATGAGAGATTACTTATATTGTAGTTGACAGGTCAAAAGTTAGATGGAAACGTGCAAAAAGTTCTTACTCCTCAGTTAGTAAATTAACACATAAAAGTAAATACCGGTACCAAAAATTTTTGAATGGAAAATAGAATTTAAAGCATTGTGACGACTAAAGGAAGAGTTAAATAAACTGAAAACGAACGAGGGAATTTGATTGCAAGGAATAAGATGCAGTCAGGAAATTAGAGGCTCATTTCCCAAATATGGAGGAATTTTTTGCGCTACTGTGGGCCATCCTGACCCATTTTGGCCCAACAGAATTGGGCGTATCAGTGCCACTTCAGCTCACTGCTCGTGCTGTGGGTAAGAAAGTGTGTCATCATCAACCCACTCATTTTTGTGAGTGCGGCCTATAGAATGCATGCAACACTCAATATTATGGCAGGATCAGCGGCAGATGCCTGCATCGCAAACAATTTCACACGAACTAGATATAATGGTCAAATCCCTCAACTGTCATGCTGGCATTAATTATTTGAGATTCATAAGGTACCTGAACATATCCATTTGAGAAAAAGAAGTCTCATTAGCGTAGTTTTCATGTGAGGTAGGTTTTGTTCCTCATTTTTTGGAACTAAAGCCCATTCAAAACGATTACTCACCGTAGCCGATGTCAGGGTGAGATCGAGAGGACAGTTGACGCTTATGTAAACTTCGCTCTCCTTGTTAAATCCTAAGCGGATCCTAGCCACAGCCTTTACGCGGTAGCGAATGTAGCCATAGCGGCCTTCAAACGAAGACGGGATGCTCAGTGGCAGCTTAAACTTGAAAGGCCAATCGTGGTTGCCAGCAGGCAGCCTCCCAGATGCTGCAGGTGTAAACAAAGTTAGAAGTTAATGGGAAATATTGACCACAAATTTTATTGATTTTATTCCTTAAACTATAGAACAAATTTTTCCAATTCATTGCATGGCGTTGTTTGATTTAAAAATTTGACTCCATGTACGTCGAGCCGATTGTATTTAAATCAAACCTGAAATTTTTTTGTTTTCATGAAAAATTATAATATAATCAAATAGTAGATAATTAAGAACTTCAAATACGATTTTTAGCATTTTCATTGAAAATAAATAAACTATTATGAATTTACAATGATAAATGTTTTCCATTTTACATGTCAGTTGCGAAGACTTCTAAACGTATAATATCTACGGCCAGATGTTATCAGCGCAAACGAAAAATCTCAAGACAAATTTCTATTATAACTCATGACGCTGAAATCTTAGAAGCTTACAGTCAGGCTCCCAAACGTTTGTTTTGAATTTGAAGTATGGTTCCGATGCTTCGTAGGTGGTCGCATCATCATCTGAATCGCTGACATCGTCCCAGCTAACTTCAGCGTCCCCCCTGAATTCGACTTCGACGGCTGCGCCAACATAAACAATCCCTCATATTCAAGACCTCATGAATGCATCTCCATTATTTCCTGTTCGTTTAATTTCTTGACTTTACATCTTATAGGGTAAATAACATCTTTAAAGGATATAGTTTCATGACGCATGTGATAGCATGAAATTTCGTTAAAAAATTCATCAAACTGAATTTGATCGAAGACACTCTACTGTTATAGACATAAGTGGCCATTTAAATATTTTACGCTGGGCATTTTTCCATAATTGAAACTTGAATAGATAGATTCACATGGACTTTGAGTCGTTTGAGGATGAAATCTTGAAACATTAATTATCCTCTTGTAAAACTACATTCCCTGACCTCTACAAAATCTGGCTGATGATGCCACCGCCATCACACGCCCCTCAACCGCCTGGCCCGGGAAATACACGTCCTGATGTGGCTCTAGGACCAAGGTGAAGTTTGTTAGACCCATGGCCTGCAGAGCTGGTATAACAACTCAAGTCCCTGGGCCTGAAGTTATCGAGTTGTGAACTTCAGCTTAAGACTTTTGATAGAACGAAGTAATTGGCATTTCTGGATTTGACGAAGAAAGATCTCATGCCATGATCCGCTGCGTAGAAAGATTGTTAAATGATTTGGTGAATAAAAAGTTCTGGCCACGATCAGCAACTTAATGGTCCATCCACACGCATTAATTTAACTGGTAGTGCTGAGCAACCAGCGCCGTCAACATCGACTATTCGCATGAGATTCTATACTCAAGACCCGATGTGTGGGAAACGAAGAGTTGCGCGGAGCAAAGATAGTGCGTTATTAGATATACACCTCATTAGCAGGAGTTAACTCACCAAATCTGTTCTGGGTATAAAAAGCTACATATGATAAATTATCAAACTGGGGTAACACGAGTCCATCATGACACATATCAGGTCTGAGATTGCCGGTCTATCTAAAAACACAGTAGTTTAATATTTAGTTTAGTTTTAGTTTAGTTTAGTTATAGTTATAGTGAGTTCAAATTGACATATGCAAGGAACCTAATAGGATTGTTTTCAGGTTTTCTAATCTTATGAAATTTTGAATTTAGGTTTAATATGATTTATGATCGTAGATCAGCAGCAGTGACGCTTCACGATAAGCTAAACTGCGAATTCCCATTATTTTTCTTGCTTGAAAAAAATGATCTAAACACAAATGGGTTGATCAGTTCTAAGTCGATTGATAACCAATTAAACATGGCTTTCGCATCGACTTAATCTTTGGCGTTTTTGAACGACTCGTCGAAATTCAAATTAGAGATCACAATACCTCAAGCATTCCCTTTTCTATTCAAATTGTGAACCAAACTTTGGAAAGTTTGATTTACATCGCACAACGCATTAGCGAGCGTTCGTCCCTCGCATGCCGACGGTCACGATGCAACTGAACGCAGGGAACGGTTCAGGTCACATAAAGTCAGTTATTACAATGAATACAATTGATACCTTTTAGTGGATGAGAACGTATCGCTTTCTGAGTATTTTTTTAACTCCTTAGAACTCCCAAGTTCTTTTAACTTTATATGAGTTGCATTATGTCAGATGGCAAATGCTTTCGCAGCTCAAATCAAACTATTAACTTAATTACCTTACGAAAACGAAGTGATCAGGACCATTATAGTTTCTGATAAGCTCCAGGTATTATATGCCATTGCCATAGACATCTTGGAGGCGGGAACGACAATTTTATTGGACGACAATATGATGATGTAAACTCGGATGTAAATTTTCATCATGAATTCATAAAAATCTGAAACATCGCAAAAGTTAAATTCGAAGATTAATAAACCTCTCCTGATATAACTTTGAGAAGTGAAAAAAATTATATGTTTGAAAGAAGTAAGACGCAGGTAATTATTCTACTTTATTTGGGATTCAAAAATAGTAATAGCTGAATACCGTATTACAATAATATCCAGTTACCAATATAAGGTATAAATCTTCAAAATAATAGATGTCGCTGTTTCAATTCTTGTCAATGCACAAGCTCCTGGGGCCATATTATCAAAACTTCGTAAGTACGCAAAATCGACTTACGTGTGACGTAAGTGCCGATATGATGACGTAACTCAAGCGGTGGTTTTATCAAAACATTTGCGCGGTAAGCTACGTACAAGAAGCCGTACGTAGCTCAACGCCTGCTCAGAGGTGTCGTAAATGGAGTTACGTACAAGTTTTGAGTGTGCCGAAGCAATATAAAACTATTGATTTACTTGCGACACGGTGAATTGTGATAGAATTTTGCAAAAAATTTAACATGCGATCGTACTAAACGGTGCTTTTGGGATAAAAATGTCAATTGCCTTTTGTGCTATAATTTACAAACAAATGTGGATATTCATATCTAAGAGTTTTATGAACATTCACTTGAACAATATCTTAATGCCTTTTTGATTCAAAATTATATTGAGGTTGACAAGCCAACCATTTTTCTAATTCTCTACAAACAAATTTATTTCTTTTTATGACAGTCGCAACTCCAGCTCACGAAATTTTTTAAATTCTTTTTAACCTTCTAAAAAGTTCTTCCAATTTTGAATGGGAATAATGCATTTATTTGCCCTTATTGCATGAAATTTCGGTTAATGATCACAACAACAAGCGCATTGCTATTTGGATAACGTCTCGCTCATTTATACAAATACACCCTAGTCAGGCACTGCAAATGCCGCTGACACCACACATCCTGCTTTCGTCCAAGCGCACTGCAGGCGCACTGGTCGAGAGGAGCTATAGAACAGCAAATCCAAAGCCAATGATTGGTCAGTTAGCCAGATGGTTTTGAAAATACGCTTTTAGCCAAGTCTTGCGTACGAAAGTTATGATAATGCCAAAATTAGGGTGTAATTTCGTAACACGTAACTTTTTTGTCGTATGTACAAAAAGTTACGAAGTTTTGATAATCCGGCCCCTGGGCTCTAATTAAGTCACCGAGCTTCCAGCTCCAGCCTTACAGTTTTGTTCGGGCCCAGATACTGGCGTGGTAAGACCTACTAACACCGCAAAGCTTGGCATGGTAAGACCTGCTAAATGAGGAGACCATGTTGCGATTAACATCTCAGGTCGTCGCCTGCAACCTGCGCAACAAACGTCGATTATTGACTGCTGCTGATTTCATAGATAGCGAGGCTGCTTTACCCACGAACGAGACGATACTTCATGANAATTTTGTGCCATTTTTGTTCCGTAATGCCTAGCGTCCTATATGTAGGACACCTTATATTTTATTATTTCCAACTGATTTTAATGAATAAACTGGATAAATTACTTAGTTGTGTCTCAATGAAGCCATTTTATCAGGTTTTTTTTTCCTTGTTCCAGCTTTTTTTCTTACCTTCGGCATAAATGGGTTAATAAGTGTTGAGCTGTGATGACTTCCTGATGATTATATTCATTACCGTGATTGCAGGGTTTTGTGAATGAACTGTCGATTCTTATTAAGTTTGAATAAAAACATCGACAGAGACATTAAAGAAAGAAAATTAATTATTACTATATATGAAATCAATCAAATGAGCTCAATAATGATTAAGTAAATTACGAACTTACGTTATTCAAGCCTATTAGAAATTATAGACAGACTTCTCAAAATTTCGTTCATTTAATGACATATAAATAATTTATACAAGCTAATAACTGAAGAGCCAACACATCTCTCGCTTTAATGGGTAAAAATTTGACAACTCATGAGAAGCGCAAAAAAATAATCAAATTAAATCTTTAACGTTCATACAGAAAGGAAACACCAGTAACCACCTGACGGCTTCCGGGAACGTTATCATCGCCTTAACAGCTTGCCAATCTTCAAACTTTCACGGCGAAAGTTTGAAGTTCACCTAATGTGAACTGATAAGCACGTACCCAATGTGAACTGATAAACGAGTACCCAATGTGAACTGATAAACGCGTACCCAATGTGAACTGATAAGCGCGTACCCAATGTGAACTGATAAGCACGTACCCAATGTGAACTACTGATAAGAGCTTAGCCAATGAGAACTGATAAACGCATACCCAATGTGAACTGTAAAACGCATAAGTTGAAGACATCTGGCGGACGTTCAGAACGAGAGAAGCGGAACCGATGATCACACTCTTCAGAGCCATTGTAATACCTATCCTTGAATACTGCTGCCTGCTCTGGACTCCGTTCACACTAGGCGCAATACGGCAGCTGGAAGGAGTCCAACGAACCTTTACCTCCAGGATCAGAGGGATGGAGAAGTTTAACTGCTGGGAGAGGTTACAGCGACTGGGTCTGTACTCACTGCAGAGGAGACGGGAGAGGTATGTCATTCTGTACACATGGAAAATGATAACCGGAATGGTGCCAAACTTCGAGAGCGAGACCTTCAGGATTAAGACATATCACAACGAGAGAAGGGGGAGACTGTGCAAGATCCCCCCCTACGTAACAGATCCGCAGTCAGATTTCAATCCCTGCGGGAATGACCACTTTCCGTGGCAGGGCCAAGGCTGTTCATCACCCTACCAAGGGATCTAAGAGAGGGGGAGTTCACCCTGGAGACCTTCAAGAGACAACTGGACGTGTTCCTGGGCACAATTCCAGATCGACCTCCCCTGCAACACTACCAGCGGCGAGAAGCAAGCAACAGCATCGTGCATCAGGTGGCCCAAATGAGGGCGGATGAACGATAATCAGAGGCGGCGATCCATCGTGGCCTGGGACTGCTATGTCCCAAACAAATACTAAGGAATCCTAAGGAAAAGACACTGCGGGAAAAGTCGCGATATCAGTAAACGGAGCAGGTATCAGCAATTTAGTACAGTGTAACATTATTCTGGCATGAAAGGTCATTGGTCGCTGTTTCAAGATTGTGCGCGTCTCAAATCTCTTCATCAGGGCCTATACGTTCAAAAAAAGTTAAGAGATCGTAAGTTCATTAGCCAATCATTGACGGCCTTTCGAGCAAAATCCACCAATCAGTGACAAGAAAATAGAGCGGAAGTACTTACGTTCACTTAGCCAGTTTTGAAAGTATGGCCCCAGAACGTAGGTAACATAGCACCATGCATACATCAGTAGTATAGAATATTTATGACGCAAGCAGCCCAGGGTATCGAACGTAAAGTTATGTTTACCAGAATCTGATCTGGCAATGACGAAAGAACAGTTTGGGAATCAGATTTAAATTGTGAAGCAATATATGGCAATAATACAAGACATTCAAAATAATGAAACAAAGGTATACCAATTTGTGTCTTTCAATGAAACTATACTAAGAGTTCTCAGAACAACATTATGAATGAAAAAGTGAAAACAGATAAAAGCTTGTCCAACCGTACTGAGAATTTAAGACAAGACCACGCTATATTTTAGCCCAGCAGTTAAATAACAAAAACTTCACGGAGCCAGGAACTCTACGCGGCCCACCACCTAACTTGAAGCCAGTAATGAATGAATGTGAAATTTTTTTAGCCAATTCCAAATAAGTGAAGCAAAATGTAGCATAGGTAGCAAAATAGGTAAGCAGGAGTTCTGCACATTTGCTAGAA